TGAAAATAATCTTTTGCGCACAAATCAAATGAAGTTGAATGAAGTTGATGCCATATTAAGTTGCGTTTGCTCTGCTCTGTGGAGATTCGCGCATCTGTCGCGGAGAGACATTTGTTTGCTCAGCTTGGGAGACTGAAGTCAATTTGATGGATGCGTCTCATGCAAATACAGAGAGTTCAATCAACCCGCGCGGCTAACCGGAAACATCTGCAGCAACTACTGCAACCGATTAGACACAAAACGCAAATTATTAGCGGCAATGTTGGCAAAACTCAGACTATTTATAGCCACGAATCGGGCAAACAATTGCCTTCAATTGTGGGCGCGTGTTTGGCACGGACAGTGGCAAGGGCAGTAGACAGAAGCAGAAGCAGAGACAGAGACTGAGACAGAAACAGAGACAGATACGGAAAAAGAGACAATGAGAGAGGCAAAAGTAAACACAAATTAGCCTAAGCCTTTGCGAATGGCGAGACGAGGCCAAGCCAGATGAACGCTACCGAAATGACAAAACAAATTTATGGAGGAGAATTATATGAAAATAAAAAGAAGAAAACAATGCAAATACAACAACTCAATATAAACAAAACAGTTAAACACTACCAGTGCCAAAAAGGGGTAAACAAAATAACCAGAATGATCAACAAGTGCTATCTATGGCAATTTAAATCGAACGTTTGTATACCCTTGAGGCAAGCCAGCAACAACTGAGCAGCTGAAGTAAAAGATCAATGGAAATCATTTAAACGTGGCTAATTGCAACAAATTCGAAAATATGCGAAAGAAAATTCGAGCAACAGTTGATTTATTTACGTAAAAGTTAGAGGTTATGCTACTACATTTTATTTTATTTTAAGCGATAAATAATATATTATATATAATATTATTATATCATACGTATTGAATTATATTAATATTTATTTTAAAATTTTGTTCCTATTATCATATTGTATGTTATTAGTTAATTATTATATAGTATATTACAATATTTAATTTGTGTGAAAGAAACTTTTGACAATTTAATTTTTGTTTATAGCAAAATTATTATTATTAAATTATAAACAATATTATAATATATATACTATTATTTCTTATATTATTTTGCAATGTTGGCATTCATTTTTTATCTTTTACAACGCTATGCAAAATCATGGTAATTTGCAATGTACATATGTGTGATTTCTTTTTATAGATATATCATATCATCATATCAATAATGAGTACTCCAAAAATACTAATACAAAAATAAATAAATAAATAAATAAAAAAATATTTGTGGACTGCATATTTTAAAGATCTCATCTACCACACATTGAGTGATTTTCTTACTCTAAATAATTATTTATGCCTACTAAGCTCTGTAAACTGAGATTAATAATAATAATGTTGATATTTATAATTATAAGTATATTGGCTTAAAGCCGTATTTATGTCTGTTGTAAATAATACGATACTATATTTAATCAGCTGAACTACTCATTTGAATTTCCAATAGACTCGCCTCGAAGAATTATCAACTTTCTAAATATGTTGAGATTCATGCGAATCAGTTAGGAAACACCAGTTTTCCCACCCGTAAGGCGATGCCTTAACGAGCTTTAATCATTTACCTACACGCATAAATCACCTATATTTACATGTTGCATGCAACTTGACAAAGCAATGCTGCCCCCATATACGCGAGGGGTAGATATGAAAGAACAAAAACAAAACATAGGGAAAAGAGAACTCGTTGAGCGGCGTTTCATGTTACATCCACTGGGAACGATGGATGATAAGTGAGAACTCGAGCTGCGCATATAAATAAAGATTTCGTGTTTTTAGTATGGCTTTTCTCTCCCTCTCGCACTCTCTCTCCCTCTATGTATGCTTCTTTTTTTCCAATACTCATTCTCAATTTGGGCGCGAATGGCAGATAAGCTAAGCCGAATGAGTCAGCAGCGGGAAAGAGAGCGGCGACAATCGATCAATTTGCTTTTAATTGCCATTTGCATGCGTCTCTGTCTGGGGGCTAGAGGCCTGGGGCTTGGGGCTACGGATTTGGCTTCGGATTGGGTCACACTCGTTTCTTGTGGCACTCAAGCTCTTTTTTATAGCAACAAATTTTATTTGATATTTTTTCCTTTTTGGCAATATAAAAGCGCGCGCCCATTGTTTAATTAAGTTGACTTTGGTGCGCGGCTTGCTGCGAGCCAGCAGCACTTCAGATGCATGACAAACAGAACAGAACGCCGACGGAGTGAGCGAGAGAGCTGTATACACACACACTCACACAAATTTACATACATACATACATACAACATATGCATATATAGAGAACACACACGAGACAATACACAGCTGAACTGCTGTGCGTGCCAAACGTACAGAGAGTCGCATGCATTTTCTGAGCATGCATGAGAATTGATCTTTTGTCGATCTTAAAACAGGAAGCAAATTGCCTGTGAATTATTGCTGCAGGTATACGGCGAAGTTTGGGAAATACAGATTATATTTTAATTCCGTTTTTGTGTCATGCACGTGCGATAATTGGCGAGGAAAATAAAATTAAACTTGTAAACCCAGTTTGAAGCTGTTTATAGAAACTGTAGCCTCAATTCTCCAGTTTTTAGCAGTTTTACTAACAATATTATCTTTATATATATATACTTTTTTCGACATAACAGGTAGATTTAAATGTTCAAGGCTCCAAGATAAAAAGCCCCAACAAATAAAGTGAGTAATAATCTAAGAAAATCGAAATATAATTTCTCCATCGAACTCTTTGAATATACGAAACCAATTTATATTCTATCTATCTATTCTGTATAAAATAAAATAAATATTAAAATATTTATACTTCAACTTGCGCCTTTTGCTGACTATTTTTATTGGTCGCAGTAATTTTAATAGGTCTTTGAGTATTATTCATTATTTTCAATTAAATTAAGAATTCGAATAAATGTTTCTCAATTCAAACAACTGTGTTCTATACGAATATCCAACAAAACATTACTAACTGCTCTGTTTTGCATGAATTAACATATTTCAAATAAAATAAAACTTGGGCTTTTAGCTGAACCAAGTTAGACTTTATTTAGTTTCGACAAGTTCTAAGTTGATTTCAAGTTCGACTGGGATTATCGCAGCACACGAACATACACATTCGTTCACTCACACGCACACACGCACACATGCGCATACAAAGCGCGATGAGCTCATTCCCAATCACATGTATTGAAAGAGCACGGAAGAGCGAGAGCAAGGGTTGTGGGTGTTAGGATAAAAGAGATAAGGATTTCATGGAGCTACTCACCAAGACTTTGGCAAAGCGACGATCCAGCTCATCCGTGGTGGGCATGGGCTGCTGGCTGCGACTGCGCACGCTCGGCTGCCTCACATGATGGTACTGCGAGCTGGAGCCGATGTCGTAGCGCAGATCCTGCTTCTGGAGCGTCGCACTGTGATGGCCATTGCGCTGCATGGAGTTTGTGTTCTGGTGCTGATGCTGGTGCAAGGGCGGCAGCTGCTGACGTTGATCCTCCTGCCGGTCCACGTCGGCGCTGGTGATGGGCCGAGACTTGACTGCGCCCATTATGGTTGCAAAGCGGCCGCTGCTCGCCGATGCAGCGCCAGTTGTTGCTGTTGTTATTGTGCTGCACCAGCCGCCGGCACCGCCACCGCCGCCTCCGCCTGCCCCACCGCCTCCACCGCCACCGTCGTCGCGGGCGTCGCCGGCCTCGATGCTCGCCGCAGTTAGCGCTGTGCTAAGGGACGTGGACACCGCGCCCCATACAGTGCGACAGAATGCACGGGTGCGTTCGGGGCAACTTGAGAGTTGCTCTTTGATGCCGCTGAAGATATCCAAAGCGATGTTGCTGCCTTGCCTGCGCTCGCCCTACAGCCAGTGAATTTATTATTGTCTATATATTGTAAATCAAGCGAAGCAAATTTATACTCTGGTTTTAGTGTTTTTGTTGTTTCTTTTTAGTGTAACTGTTTGTTTTTGTTGTTTTGCGACGTTTTTGTTGTTTGTTGTTGTTCTTGTTGTTGCTGCTGCTGCTGCTATGGTTGTTGTTGTTGTCGTATTGAACTAAAGGCGAAAAAGTTGCTGTGTTAATTTTTTCTCTTTCTTTCTTTTTTATTTGCAATGCAAGCACTTTTAACTGCAATATTAATTATATATATTTTTATGTTTTACACAGACACAGACATACATACGGAGGAACACACACAAGCATATACACGCCCTAAAAGAATTTTGTTGGAAGCACAAATAATGACACCAAAGTGAGTAATGTGCTTGTTGTTGTTGTTGTTGCTGTTGCTGCTGATGCGGCGGCTGCTGGTGCTGCTGCTTCTTCTTCTTTATATGCAACTGAACAAACATATACACACGCCAACACAAACTCACACATATGCATTCAACACGGGCTCGCATACAATCATACACACTCAACACTCCACACTGCACTCACACACATACACAGGCACACTCCACACTCACACATACAGAGGCACAGACAAAGCGCAGATTTCAATAGAACGCTCCTGTAGGCGTGTTTAGCTTTATGGCCTTCCTTTTAATTTCTACTCTAACCGGTCGTTCGTTTGCAACTTGAATTAAAAGCGCTGTCAATTTGAAATTTGAAATTTAATGATGCATTCGAATTACTTAGGGTTTTGTACGCGAAATTCCACTGCAATTGTTTAAATGCAATTTACATGCGACGGCGCGACCAGAACGACTCGCAACTTCGCTTGTCGAGTTTTCGAACGAGACTGTTAGTGTGACCGACGGTTTGGCACCATTGAAATACCGAATGTTGTGCTCTACAAAATATACTAGCCTGCACGCTCTCCACCTTAGTGTCTATGTACACATTATTTTAACAACAAATTTATGACATGCCAAACAAGTAGAACAAACATATTTTTGATCAAATACTGAAAGCTAACTACTTCATAATTTTCAAACATTTTTATTTGAAAATTGTTATCCACTATCAGCAAGGCATAAGCATTTCGATAAGTTAATCGGTGTGCACCAGCCCTGGTACGAAGTTTAGTGAATTGTTTACAAACTATTTCTATTGGTTTAATAATGGGAACACCGCGAAAAGGATTTAATTACTATGCGCCCTACTCTCAGAATGTGCGACAATACCCATCTCAGAATACGGAGTACATGTCCCAGCATAATGGTGGCCAGCAAACGCCACAGAGACCCAACCAAAGCACGCCACATTTCTACCAGATTCGAACGCCGCAGCAAAATGTTGGCTTCTACGAAGATAGGCAGGGATCTTCCAGTGCAAATACGCCCCACTTCTACCAGATAAAAACACCTCACCAGCAACACGGAAGCCCGCGGAATTTCGGGTATCGCGGAGGGGGCGGAGGTGGCAGGCGCGGGCAGCAACAAAATCAAAGAAAATTTAACGATAGGGGAAATGTTTCTCAATACTTTCACAGCTCCATGCTGGAGGACCCGTGGCGGGAGCTGATGGAACGCCACAATGCAATACACGGCAGTGTCTTAAGTGACCCACAGACGGACAGTATAGGATCAGATGAATAGGTTAAGCTCAAAACTTAATATATTTATTTACATTGTAATATTAAAATTCAATGACAATGACTTAATGCTAGTTGATTCGTTTATTCTGCTGCTGTCATTTCTACTGGCGCCGCTCCAGATACTTCTCCCAGTCGGCGGCAATTCGATTGTAGATGCCCATGGCAGCGCGTGCATCCTCCACAGAGTTGTGCTCGCCCGTCTGTATCTCCTGGCCGAGCACGGCCATGGTCAGGCGTTTCAGGCTAGGTGTGTGGCCGTTGGAGACGAGCTTGCAGAGCGGCTTGTAGCGCGAGGTGTCGCGAATATGAGCTACGGGATGTTTGATGTTCAGCACGGCGAGATCGTTGCGCAGGGCATGGCCCACGAGTATTTTTCCATGCAGCAGCTTGACCACCTCATCCTGCACAGCCTCGAACTCCTCGCCATTCTCTATGTCGTGCGGGCGTATGCCCGAGACGGCGGTCCTGTAATCGGTGACTGGCGCGCGGGGCTTTACGTGCTTGTCCAGCAGCACTTCACCCACCTTGTTTACAATGGAGACACGAGCCAGCATGTCGTCCTGGCCATTAAATCCCACACCGACCATCTCGCAGTCCATGGCCAAATAGCGATTCCGCTGTGCCTTACGCTTGAGACGTGCACGTGCCGACTTGGACAAAGTGCCGTTGGCGTCCTCATCGCTCGTATTTGCTTGAGGCTGCTTTTGATTCTCGCTGCCGATGGCTGCTGCTGCCTGCCAATTGGAGCCGGCGGCGCGTCTACTGATATTTGGCTGTTGTACTTGCAGACGCTCCATCGAGACCTGCAACTTACGTTGTCCGGGCGAATTCGAATTCGAGTTTGCGTTCATTGTTATTTTGTTTTCATTTGTTGTTGCGCTGCTGCCGCGGTTCAAATCGAACTGTTTCTGACGTTGTGCTGAAGACATCGAGGCGAAAACGAAACTTTTACATTACTTGCTCCAAGTGCGCAGTTCGTTTAAATTTCGTTTTTCTTCGGAATTTCCAAAATAATATGGAATTTATCGCCCTTCTGCCAACAACCGATGTTCCCAAAAATGTGTTTTTGTCAATCAGTTGGTCGACCGATAGCAACTTATCGAACGACAGCGTTACCTCTACGAACTTATCGAATGATTCAGCAGCTGATCCGTTAGTTTCAAATAAATTTCACTATATATACCTATTTGCTTATGAAATAAACATTTTTTATATAATATAATATTAAATTTATTTATGAAGATAGTTTCAAAAGCTGCTCTGCTCGGATTTGTTTACTAAAACTGTTTGTTTTATGCGGTTTGATATAACAGTGTAAGCAAATGTTAAACTGTTATCGCTGTATGTCAGCTGTTGCAATTACAAAAAAAAAAAAAAAAAAAAAAAAAAAAAAAAATAGAAATAAAACAGAAGAGGAATCAACAATACAGAAATGTGCTGAAAAAGGAGAAAAACAAAGGAAAAACTCAAACAGAACCTGAATTTAGTTCGTATTAAGTAAATTAGTGCGGTCTGCTTGCGAGACTCAAGTTTTAATTGATAATAAACGCAACAATGCGAAAATGTTGTAGCCATGCAGTAGTACAATAGCTGCACGCACGTTGTGCGGCTTGTAGTGGGAGTTGTTGGAGTTTGAGTGCAACGTTAGGCGAAAAGTTCACTATTCATAACATGTCCACTGACCCCACAGGCAGTTTGATGCAGAGCTTTCACACACGCTGTGGCCGCTCCATAACGCTTGGCAATGGGAATCGTTCCGCGCAGCGTTCCATGCGAAATTTCAGCCATGCCCTCGTGTTCAGCGCCGAGCCGCTCGTCGACGATGTGCTCTTCGAGGTGGTCATCGAAAAGAAGGTGAGTTGGGATATTAACTATTAAACAGTATATGTCCTAATAATCTATGTTTGTGTGCTTGGCAGAATCACTCTTGGGGTGGGAGCATTGAGATCGGCGTCACATCGGAGTCGCCCGAGGATCTGGAGCTGGTTGCTTGCGCGACGGCTATGCGCAATGGAACCTGGGTTATGTCCGGCATCGATGTGCGCAAGGATGGGCGCCGCCTGCTCGAATACTACGGCACAGATCTGGAGACACTCAATGAAAATGATAGAGTTGGGGTCATGCGCACTTCCAACCACGATCTCGTCTTCTATGTCAACGGCGAGTCGCAGGGCGTGGCCGCCAAGAACATGCCCAAGCCGCTCTGGGCTCTGGTTGATCTCTACGGACGCTGTGTTCAGGTGTCCATCTGCCCCACAGATGTGAGTGCCATGCACAACACCACCAGCGAGGTATTTCAGTTTGTTTGTCTTATATTAAATAAATGCCTAAAACGATGTTTTCTTTCAGCAGTTGCTGGACTCGCCCTTGCAGCAGCCGCTGCAGCAGGTCATCCAGAATTTGGATGTGCCCATGAGCGTGGACGTTAGTGTTGTGGACAGCGGGAATATTGATGCTTTGGCCCGGCTTAATCTCAACGGAAATGCCAGCTGCAGCTCCAGCAGCGGCATTGGCGATTTCTATGATGTCAACGATCGCTTGCGTTTCCATACGCGTTGTGGTTCTCTGGTCAAGCTGCTGCCCAATTTTCGCTCAGCCGAGCGCCGTCGTCCACTGGACGAGTTCAATAATGGCGTCGTCATGACGCATCGTCCACTGCGCGACAACGAACTCTTTGAGATTCGCATAGACAAGCTGGTGGACAAGTGGTCGGGCTCGATTGAGGTGGGCGTCACCACGCACAATCCCACAGCTCTCCACTTTCCGGCCACAATGACAAACATGCGCAGCGGCACCATCATGATGTCCGGTTGCGGCATCCTGACCAATGGCAAGGGCACACGCCGGCAGTACGGCGAATTCAATTTGGATGAGTTACGCGAGGGCGACCGGGTGGGCATGATGAGGAAGTCGAATGGCAACCTCCACTACTACATCAACGGCCAGGATCAGGGCATAGCAGCGACGCGGGTAGCCGCCACACTGTGGGGCGTCATCGATCTGTACGGCATGACCATCAAGGTGACCATCGTGGATCGTGACGAGCGCGAGCAGCAGAATTTAGTCACCAGAAGAAACAACATTGTCGCTGGCATGGCTCTGGCCTGCAGCCATGGCCAGTCTGGGACGCCTACGCTTAGTCTGCTGAGTCCGGAGAGCGAGATGAATGTGGCCGGCGCGGCTGGCGGGCTGAGCGAAACCATCTCCAGCACGCGCGCCATTGCACGCAACGATGATCGCCTCACGTTCCATCACATTTGTGGCAGTCATGCCACGGTCACGCAGAGCGGACGCACAGCGCTCCGGCCCAAGTAAGAGCTCTTCATTAGCTGCATTAAATAATAGTTTGTAACTAATTTTAATACATGTTTCAGCGCTGCCGATGACTTTAATAATGGTGTGGTGCTCACGCGTCGTCCGCTGCGTCCCAACGAGCTGTTTCAAGTGCGACTCGAACGCGTCGTCACCAAGTGGGCGGGCTCTGTGGAAATGGGCGTGACCACACACTCAGCCGACGAACTGGACTTTCCCTTCACCATGACTAACGTGCGGTAAGTACGTTTTCTATTGGTTTGAATCCAGCTTTAACATCTGGTTTTGCAGCTCTGGCACTTGGATGATGACTGGCAACGGTGTCATGCAGAACGGTGTTACGGTGATCGAGCAGTATGGCCAGAACCTGGATCGTCTGCAGGTGGGCGATCGCGTGGGTGTCGTGCGCAAGGACGACGGCACTCTGCACTTTTGGGTGAACGGCGTCGATCAGGGACCGGCAGCAACGAACGTGCCGGAGCGAGTGTACGGCGTGATTGACCTGTATGGCCAGGCGGCACAGGCCAGCATCATTGATACCTCGGAGTGCGGCAGCCCGGACACGGGCAACTCCACCATTTCCAATACGACGCTGTACAGCGAGGTGCCGCTGCGGTTCCACAGCATTCATGGCGCCAACGCTGGCATCTCTAATAGCGGGCTGACTGCTTCGCGTCCCAATTCCTTGGCCGAGTTCAATGATGCCATTGTGTTCAGTAATCGGCCGCTGCGTAATCGGGAACTGTTCGAGGTCGAGCTGGAGACGATGGTGCGCCATTGGTCTGGCAACATTGAGATTGGTGTGACGGGCACACGACCGGAGGATATACAGCTGGCACCAAATGCCACTGATTTGGAGGCCAATGATACCATCATACTGTGCGGTCCCATGATCTTCCATAATCGCAAGACCATACGCACCAATGTACTCATCGATTTGGACACACTCGGCACGGGCGCACGGGTCGGCGTCATGCGGAACGGCGACTACATCCACTTCTTTGTCGACGGCATGGACCAGGGTCCGGCTGGGGAATGCCACGCGCCCAATATTTGGGCCATCATTGATCTCTATGGGCAGTGCGCACAGGTTAGCCTGACCCAGACACAACTGGACATCCGGGCTCCGTATGCCACCAGCGAAAATTCGCAGAGCTGCCAGGCGACGTCCGTCATACAACATCCAGCGCTGGAGACCAAGCACCGCTGGACATTCGTCTCGGGTAACGTGGCGCTGACCAAGGATTGGACAGAGGCTTCTCGATACACTGGGTCCACTGCAGCCCTCTCGCACAGCCTGGTCTTCTCCGAGCATCCCCTGAGTGCGAGCTCGCCCTTCGAAATAAAGCTGACGTCGATAAATCCCATGTTTGCCGGTAGGTTAGCAAAATATTTCGTGAATCTTGACACTCAAATCGAATCTTGTTGCAGGCTGCCTCAGCATCGGCATCACAGATCTCAACTTGGCGGATGAAAGCGTGCGGAAGAAGCTGCCCACGAGCCTCAAGCGGATCCCGGCAAATGTCTGGTACGTGAGCGGCAACGAGGTGCGCTTCAACTCCAGCTGCTTGCAGCGATCGCTTGCCTCGCTGGAGTGGCTGCGCGTGGATGATCGCATCACACTGGAGCGCGTCGAGAACTCGGTGAACATTCTGCTGAACTCCGAGAATGTCAACATCCAGTTTCACAATGTGCCCAACAATGTGTATGTTGTGGCCGAGTTGCGCGGCTCGACAATGGCCGTGCAGGTGATCTCCACGCAGGTTCCCGCATCCCCATTACGCCCATGCAGCCTGCGCCTCCAGGACTCCATGGACTTTGGCATGGACCCGCTGAACAAACAGGACAGCTCAATGCTGGAATCGATAGATTCAGAGGCGCAGAATTATGAGTTTGTCGACATATCCAATAAGCATACGCGCCTCTCCGATGATCGGCGCAGTGCATCGAGAAGCAAGTCGTTTAACCAGGCCATCGTGTATCTCAACAAACCCTTATGCAAGGGCGAGAGCATCAGCATCAAAGTGGACGCGATTAACAACAAGTGGAAGGGCACCCTGTGCTTGGGTGTGATGGCGGCCTGCCCCCAGGCACTGGCAGTGCCCATATCGTTGCTCAACTGCAAGCGCAGCTGCTGGCTGGCCACGCACGACTACATCAACCTCAATGGCCAGGTCATGGCCTCCAAATATGGAGAGGCGCTCGACAGCATACAGGTGGGCACGGTGATTACTCTCTCGCTCACCCATGCCGGCTTGTTAAGTAAGTTTGGAGATGTCTAGAGATATGATGAGAACTGATAAACTTTTGCTTTCCAGTCATTATGGTGGGCTCCACGAATTTAGAGGATCTGGCCAGTGGCCTGCCCGGTCATGTGTATCCCATCTTTGACATATATGGCAAGTGCGAGAAGATCACTTTGCTAACGGGCAATGATGCCACGCGCACTGGCAACGCCAACGGCACGCCCATCTTGGAGGCACCTGAGGCGCTGGAGCTGGACAATATGCCGCAGCAGTGCGAGAAGGCGCACTTGGAAATGCACGAAAAGGAAAAGGATACGGAGCAGCTCAGCGACAGCGCCAGAGAATTGCCCACCGGTGCCTCAACGTCGGCCTCAGCCAATGTCATGTAAGCGGCACAAATTAAAGCAGCTTGATTGAATGCCTTAAATCTAAGATTCCGTACCAACAGGACCCGATCCGTGATGGAGAGCGTCTCAGAAAATCTCTTACTAAATATTTCCATAAAGAATCGCACGCTTGAACAGCAGCGCAACGAACTGGGTGGATCATCCTCCACTTGGTAAGTGGATCCTATAGGCAAATATATCAAGATTGTCAATAAATTTCCTTTTTAGCTGCTTGCGCGAGTCCTTGCAGCTGCAGCACAACACAAATCTGAATATACAGCGTAGTCAGAGCACCCAACGGTTTCAGAACTCGCTGAACACCTCCACAGGTGGTGGTGGTGGCGGCGTTGCGAGTGGCTCCAGTGCAGCTGGCCAGTTACATGGCTCGAATGCAGTCTATGACACCAACAAGGAGTACGACGAGCAACTTTTGTGCTCCAGTGCGGCTGCACCAGCCATGGACGCTTCGCACGAGTCGGAGCACAGTGAAAACAACGTCGAGGCAGTTGCGGAGGCGGCCAATGAACGTGAACTGTCCAGCGAGCCCGACAATGTGCTGGAGGATGATGAGATTGATTATATGAATCACTTGCTGCTGCTGCAGCAGCTGCAACAGAATGAGTACACGCGCATGCAACATCATTTGATACCGGACCAAATGTCCTTACTTAATTTGGATCTCTCCTCGCTCAACTCCTTGGAGTCGGAAACCAATTCCAGTGGCAATGCTAGAGACTCGTTGCGTAGTGCCGCGGCAGCCATGGAGCAAAACGATTGCGAATATCTGAAGCAGGTGAAACGGTTTTGTGCCTCCCTCGTGTTGCCGCAGGCCTTTTTCGACGTCCGTCTCGACCCGATCTGCTTCTGCTCGAAGTGCAACGGCAATAACAGCGGCAACGGCGACAAACTGGAGGGATGGGTGTACTTCAAGCTGAATCAACAAACTGTCAATGCGCTCAGTACGTCCACGTCGTCTGCTGCCGGCTCTCTGGCGGCACAAGTGCACTTGGATCTGAATGGCGACTGGCTGCCCTTCTACTATATGACACGCGTGGATAAGATTCGCGCCATTTTGGATCGTGGGCAGCCGCTGCCGCTGGAAATGGACGAAGATACGGTGGCGGCCACGCACAAAGATGAGCCAGGCACACGTCTGGAGCTCTACTACTCGCCCAATGCCACAGTGATTGAGCCGGTGCTGCCACAGCATCATTATGTCTCCGACCAGGGCGTCCATCGCATTTCCACCTCGTTCGAGGTGTACGTGCGACGTCAGTCCATCTCCGGCGTGACCACGGGCAAGGCGGCTACCGAGGCCAAGCGACGCAGCATGCATTCGGCTGACAATGAAGCGACCCATGATGGTGGATCGGGCGGTGCTGGCGGTGCCGGCAGCAGTTCGAGCGCTCTAAGTGAGTCCTCTGTGCATCTGCTCAACGACCTGTGCTGGTTTACCAAGGAGGCGGGCGCCTGCATCATAAACGCTTTAATTATTAAATTGGATCGCACCGAGGAGCCTTCAAGCGAAGCCTAAGCAAACAATCTATGGATAATGATATTTATACACTAGTCACCAGCTCGCAGCCAAACCTTCCTATTTATCTCATCCACATACACGCTAGCTATCCACGCATTCGCCTTCGCATTAGCATTTCCCCGTTTATAAACAAGTTTTGTAATGTAAGCGCAAATATACTCACAATGTTACACCTATCCACTCTTGCGTCTATTTTACTATGTATATTTAACTGCTACTCGAATCATTTCATCGAAAACTTTTGAATGCTTAAGAGTTGTGTATTTATTAAATAGTTACAATTTTAGTTACAAAATTCTGTTTAAATGCAATTTACACTTTTGGCTCTGATCTATTTGACTTGATTTCTGCTATGTGCGCCACTTTGTTTCTGAGATTATCAAGTTTCAGGCCTACGTCTACTACTAAATCGTCATTCGACTTGAGTTTCGTCTCGTATTCGATCTCCTTCTCTTTCATAAGTTCCAGATTTGCTTGCAGTTCGGCGACTTTCATTTCGAGTTCCTTGATCTGATTGTCTTTGCTGCGAATTGTTATCGCGTTTTCCTCTGCTGCCTTTTTAGCCTTGTCTCCACTCTGCGATAAGGTCCTTAGAAGAGTATAATAAAAGGAACCGCACTGCTGTTCAAAGGCTGCTGAGCCCTCACTTAGCTGCTTTAGAAAGTTTCCAATCAGATATCTCTCGAGCAACTCGATTTCAAGCCACTCACCGAATCATCTTTGGCTGATGCACCTGCTAGAAATGCGATCAGGAAAATTACTACGAGTCGCATATTCTTAAGAGGTTCTTCTATATTTTTAAATAAAAAGTCCCACTAATGCGCTTGCGATGTGTTTAACGAACAGAACTGAACTGAATATTGTTGTGAAGCTACAGTAATAAATATGTATATTTGCAATGATTCTATAGGAATATGTAGTATAATGTATAAAATGCTATCATTAATTATAAGACCTTTCAACCTATGTCAATTCGGAGAATACGTTTTCATATATTATGCAAATCAACAAAATACGCTAGTATTCGTAAATTATATAGAGTAAGGAAAGGGTATAAGTGTTCAACTTACATACACATATTAAATATATTATATTATATATGCATTATATTTAATAACATATATTATATATTATATTAAGTAACATATTTCGAGCTCGAACAAAAACCAATTAAGGGCTTTTTGGAATCATCATTATGGTTTTATTTGATTATCTGATTTCCATTCATTTAGTGTTGGTTTTTGTTGTTATTCAACTATATGCAAAAATGGTCGATTAGAAAATGTTTGTTTTATGTTGTTGCATCCATCCGTACAGCAGCTATATCTGTCTGTCACTTCCACTTCCGATTCCACTGCCATATCTTCGTCTGCTGCACTTAATCAAATCGCTTGTTCTATTTATACGCTTACATATTTAGGGTTTGTTTACAGTTTGCCAGTTTGCTGATTCTGATGCGTCGGGAAAGCAAAAGTGCATATACAATTTTTGCTGTTGTTTCATGTTGGTTTGTAGACGTAAAGTTAAGTTTTGTGTTGTTGTTTTTATCGTTAGCCAATACCATATATATTTGATTTGTTTCTATACTCGTTTCCTTTATTTAATTTATCAATAACCGTCGACGACATACGACGCATAGTTCATTCAACGTCCATGGCAGCATCGTTGGGTGAGTTGCCGCCTGCGTTCTGCCCATTGTTGTCCACATCCATTTTGTCGCCGCCGGCAGTTGGCTCGCCGCCATTCTGTTCTGCAGCATCCTTTGGCGGTGTCGTTGTCTTGGCAGCTGGTTTCGGTTTCGCGCGGTTAATGACAGAGTTGACGCAGCTAGTCAAGGAATTCACCTCATGGCGCACTGCCTGCAGGGTGACAGGACTGTCGACTGTGCGTGGCGATTGCGTGAATTTTGACAGATTGGTTTCCAGCCACTTTTGCGCCTTGTCCGCAGATTCGGCAATGTTGATGAACTCGGTTTCCGTCAAATGATCGTACTTGGGCACACCCTTGCGGAACTCGGCCACTGCCTGACGGGCCACAGCAATGCTGTTCTTTAGCTCCTCGAAAACAGCCGGACACAGCTCGTAATCCTGGGCGCGCTGCTTGATCGGATCGGTTTTCTGCAACAGCGCCGTCAGGCGACTGGTGTAAGTCTCACGGTCGCAATCCTCGCCATCCTCATATAACCAGTTCTCGAGATCATTTAGCTGCGCTACAATCGACTCGCGATCGGACTCAAGCACATAGCGCTCAAGAGGTCCACCCTGCAAATATGACAATATTAGTGCTATTGACCTAGACTTGACTGAAGTCTATTAGATTCTTACTTGTAACTTGTTGCGCATATCGTAGACGAACTCCTCCAATGCGTTTTTGGCGTCAATGCGCTCCGTCTCCTTCTGATCGTTGCCAATCATCTTAGCCTCCTGCTGTGCATAGCCGCTCAAGACAGCTGGCTCGAATCCATGAGTGATGGGCTCCATTGGCAGCTCGATGTCCTTTTTGATCTTCTTCTTTGTTTTGTCATTGCCCTGCGCGTGAAATAGAATACAGAAGGTGAAAATCATAGATTAGAACAATTGCTCCATCGACTCGGATCATATTATTCGTCTCTCATAGCCAATAGAAAGAGGAAATACTTCGAAGCGGAACAACAACATAGCGAAGAGGAAAAACAGCTCAAGTAACAGCCTACGATATGAGCAAAAGATTGTGATTCGTGTCTTAATTATGTAAACAGAAGTTCGAGTAGCATTCATTGGATTGGAGGCGCATTGTAGAACGTGTATTTTTGTTTATCTTTTTAGCTTACTTTGTTTAAATCATAATAATTAAATATATATATTTGAATAAGTAAATAAAAAAGTATTCAAGCATATATTGGGCAAATTGTTTAAGCAAGTCAATATTTTTTTGATTGTATATATATATATATATATTTTGGTTTGCAATATTATGTAGGAGCACACAGGGTAGGCGGCTTATGAGCGGTCTTCATCATTCGTTTTACTATCGGTTGTTGGGTGGGAAAAGAAAGCGCAAAATGTTGTGCTTGGTATTTTCTCATACGACATTTCCAATTTCGTGATATTTTCTCATTTTTGGTTTTATTTTAGAAATTATATTTGTATTAAGATTTTTATTTGCTTTAAATTTGAAAACGTACCGAACCAAACCAGCCCTTGACCCGTTGTGCCCACCCTTGTCCGCCAGGTGATGAGGCTGTTGATGTATTAATATCATCCTCATTCTCAAAATATGCCTATATGAGAGAGCAAAACGCGAGCGCACAATATCCAATATTTTGGGTGATAGTTGTAATAATTGTATGTATATGTAGTATATATAAATATCTCGTACTTAAGCAATGTACAATACAACATAATTAAACAGCAAGAGGAACATCAACTACGGCACTAGTAGATTGGGAATGAAACCAAGACGCAAACATGAAGTAGCCAAAATATAATCACAAAATCGCAATACTCAAGAGCATTTCGATATATGTAAAATTACTAAAGAAACTGAATGGAACTAAACATTTCGCTAAAGTGAGATTAGGTGCAACACAAACATTCACATAATAAAGTACATTAGTATACGCCCCTATAAACGCTGATGCTTGTGTGTAAAAACTGATAGCTAGATAGATATTTTTACATAAAAGTACTAAATAAAAGGGATCTAGAGTCGAAATGGAATTATTTAGTATATTTGCCTCCCATATTTAGGGTCTTAGGTTTCATTTCCTATCTAAGTGAAAGATGCCAGCAAGAGCAGCAAATAAAGAAGTTTCGAGTTATTTAGAAGTGATCAAATGATAAGAGCCGATTCAGTTGATGACTGGTGAAGTTGTTAGAAGGAAAATCACTCGAAAGGGTTACAAAACTGCGAAAGGGAGAGAGCGCCTACTCAACAACAGATGATATAATTTGTATGAATCTGATGATGATGACGTTACTACATAATCGGTTAAGGGATGTTTGGATTAACTAACCTCAGGTTGGGCTTCCGCTTGCTCGCCAGCAGTTCCAGCTTGCTCTCCTCCGGCAGCCTTCTCGTCGGTAGCCATTTCGTTTGCGGCAGCAGCCTCTTCCTGCTCCTTTCGGTCAACGAGCACGGCCGACGAAATTAAGACAATTCCGTTAAGATTAATGCGAACTTTCAGCTTGACATCCTGACTCTCGCCACGCTCTGTTGGCTTGACGTCTTTGATTTTCCAGGTGCCGATAGTTTGATCCGGATACGGCACCGGTTGGCCGTAAACAATGGACGCAACGAACGGACTCTTGCGAGCTATGGTCACCAGACGACTGAATGGTGACGGATGGAATTGCGGAAAGATTTCAACTTCGCCGTTCGATGATGTGCCATCACCCTCCCAGAGCACTTTCACGGCATAATTCTGTATGTCAGTTACTCCGAATTCGCGCACGCGCACAGCCGGCGACATGATGGCGCATTGCAGAGCAGCTCCGCGCGAGACTGCCTCATCCTGATTAAGTGTGGTACTGGCCGGTTTGTTGAACACCTAAAAAAAAGAAGGAACACCTTATAAACATACCCAAAGCCTACAGCCAAGTGTGACTCACCTGCTCAATGAGCTGCTTGACAGCCGGTATGCGAGTGCTGCCGCCCACAATCTCCACTGAGTGTATATCGTCCAGGGAAAGCTTTGATTCGACCAAAAGTTTCTTGAAGGTCTGCTCAACTCGCTGTAGAATTGGAGCGCACAGCTCTTCCATTTGGGAACGCTGCATGGACGAGCTAACATCGATATCGTCCAAGAAGCATTCAATATTCAGAGGCAGTTTGGTGCTGTTGGCAGACATTTGCTTCTTCAGCTTCTCGATTTCGGCCAGCAAACGCACATTGGCGCGAGCATTGCTCTTGGCATTGATCTTATAGCGCTCGAGGAACTCCTTGGTAAAGTGCTCAGCTAGTGCCAAATCGATGTCGCGCCCACCAATCTGATCCCAGCTGCTGGCCAACATCTTCAGCTTGCCCTTGGTGAACGCACAGGCGCTGACCTGCAGCGCCGAGTGGCCGAAGTCAACGAAGATAACGTTACGCGGCTTGTCCTCGAACAGGTCGTTCTTGTAGAAGCCATAGGCCAGAGCCGTGGCCGTTGTCTCGTTCATCAGGCGCAGCACATTCAGTCCCGCGATTTGCGCGGCATCGAGCAGCGCCTGACGCTCGGCGTTGGTGAAGAATATGGGACAGGTGATGACACAGTCATTCACCTGCGTTTGCATGGCGGCCGCTGAAGTTTCTTTCAGTTTCGTGAACAGCATGGCCGTCAGCTGCTCCGGTGAGAAATGCTGATCCTCGTTCAAGTAGTTGACTTTGATGCCAATGCTGCCATCACTGCGCGGCTCCACGCGCGCTGGAATGCTCTTGAGTTCATGCTGTACATGCGGATCGTTGAATTTGCGGCCAAGCAGACGCTTAAAGCCGCCAACTGTGTTTTTCATGTTTGTCACCTGCTGGTTCTTGGCGGCAACGCCAATGATGCGCTTCTTGCCATCAAATGCCACAAATGAGCTGAAGAAATGTTAAAGTAATATTACTGGATTACTAATATGAATTACTTTTAACTATTTTTTAATTTATTTTTGCATTCAAGAATTTATTAGATATTTATATTTATTAAATGAATGCCTGCCTAAAAGTAGTAGAGTTGGTGCACTCAAGCATAGATATGCAAACTTACTTCTGATTATTATTATATTATATGTGTTTCAATATTCAAGACAGAGAGTCCTATACCTGCATTTTCTATATAATTTTACAGGGTATACAAATGTTCTA